CAAGGACTTCTTCCACAAGTTCTTGAGATGTTTGCCTTCAAGATTTGGCACATTGGTCACTATTCTAGTGAGGAGTGGTTTGGACACCATGACACCAAACCAAGTGTTGGAAGATATAATGACCGATGATACATATAGAGATGATGATAAGAAGGAAGAAAAGAGGGAGAAGAAAGATGAGAAGAAGGATGACAAGAAGAAGAGCGTGGCATTCAAGGCCACATCATCCAAGGGCAAAGCCAAGCAAGAAACATCGAGTGAAGAAGATGATTCATGGGATGATGATGATGATGAGAAGATGGCTCTCTTTGTCAAGAGATTTGGCAAGTTCATGGTGAAGAAGGGCTATCGTGCTAGAAGAAAGAAGTCTTCATCTAAGAACAAAGAAGAGTCAAGAAGGTGCTTCAAGTGTGGAAGCAAAGATCATCTTGTTGCTCAATGTCCATACAATAGCGACAATGATGATGACAACAAGAAGAACAAGAAGAAGGACAAGAAGGAAAAGAAAGAGAAGAAGGACAAGATGGCCTTCAAAAAGAAGAAGGGTGATTCATATGTGGTCACTTGGGATAGTGATGTTTCCTCAAGTGATGATGATGACGATAGTGATGATAACAAGACTACCAAAAAGAAGGTTCTTGCAAGCATTGCTATCAATGAGAAGCCTTCTCTTTTCGACTCTTCATCATGCTTCATGGCTAAGGCCACTAAGGTACAAACTTATGATGATGAAAGTGATGAAGAACATGATGATGATAATGAAAATAAAAATGATAGTGATAATGATGATGATGAACCTACTAAAGATGAATTATTTGACATGTTAGAAGATGTTAGAGAACACTTTGACATCAAGAGAAGGGAATGCAAAAGCTTACGTAAGGAACTAAAAGCCCTTAAGCAAGCCTTTGATGAGCTCAATGCATCTCATGAGAGGCTAGAGGAAGCCAATGAGAAGCTTGGCAAAGATCACAAAAAGCTTGAAAAGGCTCATTCCTCTTTGCTTGATGAGCAAAATAAAAAGAAGCATGTTGAAACTTGCAATGTAGGTTTAACTTGTGATATAATTGATGAATCACTATCTATGCCTATCATTGTTCCTTCTACTAACCCTTCTTGTAGCACTTCCACTTCTACCTCATCTAGTAGTGATGGTCTCACTTGCGATGCCTCACTAGTGGTTGAGAATGAGAACCTCAAGAAGGAGGTCAACAAGCTCACTCACACCTTGGCTAAGGCCTATGGTGGTGAGGACCGCTTGCTTATGTGCTTGGGTAGCCAAAGAGCTTCTCTCTATAAAGAGGGATTGGGCTATACCCCCAAGAAAGGCAAGGCGACCTTTGCTCCTCACAAGACTAGTTTTGTGAAGAACAATGGTCCGTTTTGTATTAGTTGCAAGCAAGTGGGTCATAAAGAGCACGAATGCACCAACAAGAGTAAAAATGCTAATGTATCCTACCTTAAGCTTGATTCATGCTATATGCTTACTAAGGGTACAAATGGTGTGACGGCTAAGTTCATTGGTAAACCATGGATGGGCTCAAAGAAGAAAGTCATTTGGATACCAAAGAGCTTAGTGACTAACAAAAGCAAGTTTGGGTACCTAAAAAGAATTGATTTTCTTTTGTAGGTTAATTACAAAGCCGGAGGAAGGCATTGGGTTCTTGATAGTGGGTGCACTCAACACATGACCGGAGATGCAAGAATGGTCAACTCAATCAACACCAATGGCAATGATGGTTATGATAGTATCATATTTGGTGACAATGGAAAAGGCAAGGTCAAAGGGCTCGGTAAGATTGCAATATCCAATGACATGAGCATTTCCAATGTGTTGCTAGTAGAGAGCTTGACCTTTAATTTGCTATCCGTGGCTCAATTGCGTGATCTTGGATTCAAATGCATATTTGGGGTAGATGATGTAGAGATCCTAAGTGTAGATGGATCTAACTTGATCTTCAAAGGCTTTAGATATGAGAATCTATACTTGGTTGATTTCAATGCTAGTGAAGCTAAATTATCTACATGCTTGTTCACTATGTCTAGCATGGGTTGGTTATGGCATAGAAGGCTTGGTCTTGTTGGAATGAAACAATTGAATAGATTGGTTAAGCATGACATGGTTAGAGGCTTGAAAGATGTTGTGTTTGAAAAGGATAAGCTTTGTAGCTCTTGTTAAGCCAGCAAATAAGTTGGAAACACACATCCTAAGAAAAGCATGATGAGCACTAGTAAGGCATTTGAGTTATTGCGCATGGATTTGTTTGGGCCAACACAATACACTAGCATTGGTGGTAACAAATATGGCTTTGTGATAGTGGATGATTATACTAGATACACATGGGTATTCTTTCTAGTGGACAAAAGTGATGTTTTTGCAACATTCAAATCATTTGTCAAAGGCATTCACAATGAGTTTGAAACAACCATCAAGAGAGTTAGAAGTGACAATGGTAGTGGGTTCAAGAACACTAGAATTAATGAGTTGTGTGATGAATTTGGAATAAGACATCAATTCTCGGCCAAGTACACTCCATAATCAAATAGCCTTATTGAGAGAAAGAATAGAACACTTATTGATATAGCAAGGTTTATGCTTAGTGAGTACAATGTGGGTCAATCTTTTTGGGCCGAAGCTATCAACACGGCTTGCTATTGTAGCAACCGCCTCTATTGTCACCCATTGAAAGAGAAGACACCATATGAACTCTTGAATGGTAGAAAGCCCAACATTGCATATTTTCGGGTCTTTGGTTGCAAATGCTATATCTTGAAGAAAGACACTAGATTAGGCAAGTTTGACAAGAAATGTGATGAAGGATTCCTACTTGGTTATTCCACTACAAGCAAAGCATATAGAGTTTGGAATTTGGATAGTGGTACTCTTGAGGAAGTTTATGATGTTGAATTTGATGAAACTAAGGGTTCACAAGTAGAGAATGAGAACTTGGAAGATGTTAGAGGCATTCAACATTCAAATTCCATGAAGAACATGGATATTGGTAAATTGAGACCTAGGCAAGTGAATGATGATGAAGATGATCAAGTGCAAGTGCTCTCTAACTCAAATGTGCAAGATGATACAACTCAAGCTAGTACAAGTGGCCCTCATGATATTGAACAAGATCAAGTGGCTAGTATATCATCTCAACCCAATGATCAAGCAGGTGCAAGCAATCCAGTTCCAATCCTCCAACCAACCAATGTTGCAAGAGATCATCCATTGGACACTATCATTGGTGATATTTCAAGAGGTGTGCAAACTAGATCAAGATTGGCTTCATTTTGTGGGCATTTCTCATTTGTGTCATCCATTGAACCAAAGAAGATAGATGAAGCATTGAAGGATGCTGATTGGGTGAATGCTATGCATGAAGAATTGAATAATTTCACAAGAAATCAAGTATGGGAATTAGTAGAGAGACCAAAGGGACACAATGTGATTGGAACCAAATGGGTCTTTAGAAACAAATAAGATCAAGATGGGATAGTAGTAAGGAACAAAGCAAGATTGGTAGCACAAGGCTATACACAAGTTGAAGGTCTTGACTTTGGAGAAACATATGCCCTGGTTGCTAGATTGAAAGCAATTAGAATCTTGCTAGCCTATGCTTGTGCCCACAACATCAAGCTCTATCAAATGGATGTCAAGAGTGTATTTCTCAATGGTTACATCAATGAAGAAGTATATGTTGAGCAACCTCTTGGTTTTGAAGATGACAAGAAGCCCAACCATGTGTACAAGTTAAAGAAGGCATTGTATGGCTTGAAGCAAGCACCTAGAGCATGGTATGAGAGATTGAGAGACTTCCTACTCTCTAAAGGGTTCATGATGGGCAAGGTTGATACCACTCTTTTCATCAAGAAGATTAGAAAAGATCTATTTGTGTTGTAAATCTATGCTGATGATATCATATTTGGATCAACCAATCAAGATTTTTGTGATGAATTTGGAAAGATGATGTCTAATGAGTTTGAAATGTCCATGATTGGAGAGTTAAGTTAATTTCTTGGTCTTCAAATCAAGCAATTGAAGAATGGTATATTTGTGAGTCAAGACAAGTATATCAAGGACATGATCAAGAAGTTTGGCATGAGTGATAGTAAAGTCATTAGCACACCAATGGGAACAAATGGCAACTTGGATAGTGATACAAGTGGAAATATAATGGATCAAAAATTGTATCGGTCTATGATTGGAAGCCTACTCTATGTGACCGCATCAAGGCCGGATGTCATGTTTAGTGTATGCATGTGTGCAAGATTTTAAGCCTCACCAAGAGAAAGTCATTTGAAGGCTACAAAGAGAATATTGAGGTACTTGAAGCATACACCAAATGTTAGTTTGTGGTATCCCAAAGGAGCAAAGTTTGAGCTAGTTGGTTACTCCGACTCGGATTATGCAGGATGCAAGATTGAAAGGAAGAGCACCTCGGGCACATGTCAATTGTTGGGAAGATCACTTGTTTCATGGTCATCAAAGAAGCAAAATAGTGTTGCATTATCAACCGCCGAAGACGAATACATATCCGCCGGTAGTTGTTGTGCACAAATACTTTGGATGGCCAAACGATTTTACCATGTACCATGGCTTCATAGAAATTTTTGCAACCTTACAGATTATAGAAGGGCATTGAGATTTTAGAACCTCAGCTTAATTATTCCATAACACACTGTGATCTATGCTTATACAATTTATGCTTCTGTTATTTGTTTTTAACAGTCTTCTAAATCACAACGATAGTTCAGTTATACATAGTGATGGCAGCAACAGAAGATACTTTTAGTGATGTTGTTCCATAAAATCTTTGAGAGAAAGATGCATCACCATCCTGCACCAAACAAACCCGAATGCATGTGCCGCTAGCCCGCTACCAAGACTCAGGCATATTCCTTATCGATTTGCATTACCAAACATTATATTACACTTCACAAAGAAAATACTATTAACACACTCAATTCTCCTCATAGATTGATCCACCAGTGACAACTGATCATCCATGGACATAGATGCTCCCAGCGACGTCGCGACCGAGCTTAGCGTCCCCGCCTACTTCTTCTTACCCTCTAGGGCCAGCGACCTCGCCGTGTTCCTCAACCTTCCCTACTACTACCCCATCGTGCCGTCGTTCTGGGAGATGGGCAAGACTACGCTCGTGCGCTGCTTCCCGGGCATGCCGCCGATCCGCGCCGTGGATATGTTGCAGTCAATCCACGACAAGGAGAGCGACGCGACCAAGGTCCAGCTCTACTAGTTCAAGCGCATGGTGGAGGGGAGGGGTGCGCTGGTCAATAGCTTCTATTGGCTGGAGCCCCAGAGCTGCTCTTAGTGACTGTTAATTTCACAAACTTTGTTTTTTAATTAAATGTCAGTTTAATGTCTTACAGTATTGTTATCTTATTGTACGATCTGTGTGTTTTTAGTATAAAAGTTTAGTTGTCCCGTAGCAACGCACGGGCACGCTACCTAGTATATGACTTAATTAAGAATCCCACGTGATGTCAACATGGGTTGACAAGGAAGAGTAAGATGGGTGTAACTACTCAGTATACTCCCTTTATCCCAGGTTAATTTTTTTTCTAGCCCAAAACTCTGTCCCAAGTTAAATTGATTCGTAGGAGTGACAATCCATGGCCCTTTTTATTTTCTTCTTGGAGCCCTGATGCATTAACCGCACCCACCTTTGTCTTTGGTGTCTTCCACCCCAGCGCCTCTAAAGCCAGTCTCAATAGTGAGTTCCATTTTTCATGTTTCCAAGACTGTCACATCATCTAGAGTCATTTGTGATGATGAATGGAACAATCTCTCACACTGCATAATTTCAATTTTATTGTTGCATATCGGTTACTCAAAAGCATTTGATGTGTGATTGGACAATTATTGGATGAAACAAAACTTTTTCCCCTCAATGCTAGTGTGAAACATTTTCAAGTTTTGAAAAGAGTGTACACCTAATTTCATCTAGGGCCGTGTTTAGTTGCCCAAACTGTGCACATCCAAAAAGCACTGTGCACTGTAGTGGCACTGTAGCATTCGTTTGTATTTGGTAATAATTGTCCAACCGTTGACTAATTAGGCTTAAAATGTTCGTCTCGCAAAGTACAACCAAACTGTGTAATTAGTTATTTTTTTTACCTATATTTAATACTCCATGCATGTGTCCAAAGATTTGATGTGATGTGATGTGATGGAGAATCTTGCACTGTACAAACTTTGGAGGTGCAAAGTTGGTGGAACTAAACAAGGGCTAGATGAAACTCGTCCACTCTCCCTCTTTTTAGTGCCATTGTCATCAAGTTTGCTTGTGTGGCACCACCATTTAATGAAAATGAAACCTCCACTGTTGAAACTGACCTAATTCTCTCATCCTCAAGTTCACAACAACATTTAAGGGTTGCCTTCAAAAACAACCTTTTAATTTACTCTAAGATGCACCAAACAACACCACCAGACAATTCACAAGCAATTAAGATGCAACAGGTTATTGAGGCGCTGGGGTGGAAGACACCTACGTCCTAAATTTTCTAGAAGTTGATTCAATTACAGGGCGTAGGGAGTTACAATCCATGTACAACCGATTTCCCAAAACATTCAGTGCATTTATAAGATTTTCATCCAAGTGATTAACTATTGGATCTTGAGTTGCACCACACCTATATAAATGATTTGTAACTGCAATCAAAATAGATTTGAAGAGACATAATTCAAAATAAATTTGAAGTTGTCGAATTTGTATCCGCCTCTAAAAAAGGTCCCTAGAAATCAAGCCTTTATAGAAATAGGTTACTACTCAACCGACCTGGAAGTCGATTTCTAGGGGCGGTGGACACTAGCTATAAACCGCATATAAAATTCAGTTTTTACAGACAGTTCACAAGTTAGGCCGCCCTAAGAAATCTTTTCCAAAAAAACCGCCAAAAATTCTCACACCCAAGCGACTACATCAAAATAATTAGTATTATTTCACAAGTCATGCCATTACCATTCTTTGAAATCAATTTATATATATGGGGTGGTTTGTAGGTGTGGTCCTTTATATTTTGAGACAGCTTCAATGAAATTGCAACCGGGGGGAAGAAAAACCGAGATGCTTCTAAAAATGTTTATATAGCAGTGTGCCTATTAAGAAGCCAACATGACCATATCTCCTATAATATTTGGGACTTCTCATAGCCATAGGTAGCAGGCGCCAGATATCCCGACATCTAGAAGAGGGTGAATAGTTGGTGGTGCCAATGCACACGTCATGTATTTCTTGCCTTTCCTCGTATTTGTGGAAGCATTGTTTCAGTTTGGATATGACTACAGTGGTTCAAGATTTTTGTCATATGGGAGATATCTGTCACGTGGACCGGACATGTTTTGGTTGTGTTAGGAGGATCTATAGGTAACTTTGAGTTGGGAGAAAATGTAGTTGGTCAAAAGAAGAGACCATTTGGTATAGCTTCTCGGAGCGGATTCTTCCTAAGAATCACTCCTCAGCCAAACAACAAAACTGCACATAGATTCTGATGATGAGAAGCAGACAATAGTCACTTCTTCATTTATGATAAATTGATAATGTCATGTTCAACTGCCTGTTGACATAATTTTTTCCTACAAGTTCTTGTTATACTAGTCCAGTTGAGGGGAAAAAAATCAAAAGGAACCTCACTGCTGCCGGCAAAGATGACAAGCAAAGAATATCGCCATTATATTGGCCCATGCGTATTCACCGCATACTGTCGCCACCTGCAGATAATCACTGAAGCAAGCCCACCACCTCATCCCTGCCCTCCATTCGCAGCGAGCAGTCGCCTTGTCCAAGCGAGGATTATTGTGGCCTGTCGTCCAAAATCTGGTGTAGAGGAGCATATAGCCATATAGGAGAAAGGGAAGGGACGAGAAGTGGCGGTGGTCGCCAGTGTGGAGAGCTAGTAGAAGCAATGGATCTCACAGGTGGAGGGAGAACCGCAGCCAATCTAGTGAATTTTGATCATGCCAATCTTACTTGAAATACAAAAGGAAAATAATAAGATCTCGTAACATGCATGCATGTTGACATGGTGTATAGGATGCTGGATGGTAAACTCGTCGCTCCATAAATTGAGGTAGCTGTATACAAATTATATGAACCAAGTGCTCACATACTTTTTTCCAAACTTTTCGTTGATCATACGGTAGGAATCCAAACACTCTATAGCCATGCATACTCAATTTGCCACAAGTTAGCTAAAATATGGTGGTAGTCAACAAAAAAGTAACCTTATCTTGCTGTAACTTAGGCGTGCCGCGATATTGACATATGCCTAACCTTAGTTACAACAATCTATGGCATCCGATTAAACATGACCTTAAACTAAATTACTTTTTAGCCTGATGCTTGTGAATGATTTTCTCCTGTAGCCTCCCAAACCTAGACCTACACTAGATGGATGCTTTTTGTCTTGGAGCCATAGAATGCGTGTGACAACCATATATATGCTTGTGCACTCACTTCAAAGGCCATGCGTTGTGGGATAACAACAGTCTCGTTTTCCTTCCAAGACATTTATATATATGCTACCCTTGATCCTTTGAGAAAGGATAAAAGCTAAAGTTAATCATTAACTCATACACGAGAGTCTTTATGAAAAGAAAAAAAGAACCGACACAGAAGACGAATGTGCTCATAGGGGTAGGGTTTACGTACGTGTGTTCAAAGGGGTGAGTGTGCGTGCGTGTTGTGGGCGTCTGTGTTGTACGTGTGTTCAAAGGGGTGAGTGTGCGTGCGTGTTATGGGCGTCTATGTTGTATTGTGTAATTCTCAAAAAAAAAAGTTGGTAATTCCACGTGATGTGATGTCAGGAAGTAGCTTGAACAATTGGATGCATCAATTTCACATAATGTGATGTTAGGGTGACTTATAGAAGTAGGTTGGACAACTGGATGCAGTAAGGAAACAACTATCATGACTCCGAATAACGTTCCCGATACTAAAACATTCGAGGAGGATGCATTGATCGATTGTGTCTGTTTTTACAGCCATATATACTTTGTTTCCTTAGACAAAGCTTTAACTGATAATTATTTTATTAATATTTTTATTTATGTGATACACAATTATTATGATCAGTAGGCATTTTTATACGATAATATTGACATCCAATTTTGTATCACGAAGCTATGTATTATATTAAAATTACCAACATAGTCTTGGAAAAATCAGAGACCCTGCGCAACTCTAGAATATGGTGCCTAGCAAACTGTAAAAAAAAAAGAAATCATTTTTTTTTTCTAAACCGATTTGCATCGACATGTCTGACGACGGCTTCAAACATACATACAGAACAATTGTTTTTTTAAACAATCTAGACCAATTATTGCATATGTACACAAAAGATAAAAAGAAAAATATCAAGGGCGTCGGTGTTTCGAGTAAACACCAACGAGTAAATTTGTATTATTGCGCGTCTGGCTCGGATGATGTGCTAAGAGGACACGAGGATTATACTGGTTCGGGCCGAATGTCCCTACGTCCAGTTTTGAGCTGCTCGTGTTACCAGCACTGAGTTTGTAGTAAGAGGTTACAAACTAGCGAGAGAGGGAGGAGCTCCCAAGTCTCTGTGGTTCGATTGCTCGATGTTTCTATTGCTCGATCTATCGGTCGATTGATCTCTTGCGGTGCGGTGAACCGATGCCCCTTAGTGGGACGCCCTGCTTTCCCTTTTATAGGCCAAGGGAAAGCAGGGGTTACAGCTGAAGGGGAAGAGGAAAAAACGAAAAGAGAAATAATGCTCCCGGGGGTGTGTTGTCCTCCTCTTCGCGTGGGTCCCACTGACCCTGTAGATCATGGTGGCAGCGGCGTCGCACCGGGGGCCTGTTGGCCGCTGCAGCATACGTACGGGATCGTGCGCCGTTCTTGTCTTCCATCCCATCCGAGCGGACGGAATGGTCAAAGGGTCCCTTGACAGAGGCCATACGGGGGCTGGCGGTACAGTGCCAGTCAACTGATGCCGATTGACTAACGTTGGACGGTGGTTAGGCAGGGAGTTGGTAGCATAGTGCTGGCCTGTTGACGCGATGGGCGACGTGAGTCTCCTAGCATGGCCCGATGCGGCCGCCAGTCGCATCAGGATGTGCCCAAGACGTGCTCTCGGGCATGTGCCTCCATGCCGTAGTGGTTGAAAAGGTTTGGGTTCCATCCTGGGGCCACTACTTTTGTTCGGTAGCAAATCTGACCCCCAGGGAACGGGCGAGGCAAAAATCTCGCCCAGGGGGCCGAGAGAGATGGAA